TCAGTTTATTTTTAAGGGAGGTTCACTCATTTAACTTATTTTAGACTTTCTGGGGATGAATAGTGTTCCAGAAAATTCATAGACATTCACAAAATGCATTAGTCTGAATAAGTAAAAAATGCATAGAAATCTCTAGGTCAGATGTAATGGGAAGAAATCCTTAATCTGCCAAGAAAGAGAACGAGGTTTAAAAGACTCATCAAGCAATAAATTCTATGTCAACAATTACTGAGAAAGCAATAGACATGAGAAATTAAGTCAAAAGGTGCAGAGCCATTCAGCAGTTTTGCCAGGTGAAGGAGAAATCTAATTTTCTTGATGAGAAGTGGGTGTTCCGTTTTGTTTCATGCAAGTTATGACCACTTCAAATTGGTCTAGTATTTAGTATAACACACTGGAGAAAAGTTTGGCACGTTCTGCTATACATTTATGTTGCTCTTTATCTCCTTTTTTTTATTTCCTCAGTAACCAGCATAGTCACACCAGCCCTCCAATGTACGGTACAGATATATATACGGTATAGGTGCTGGCAAAGGTTTGTTTCAAAGCCTTAGACTTGCTTAATATCTCAACCCAGAATGGCATCTCAGTCCCAATAGAAGTTTCTACAATATATAGGTCATTCTACAGTGTAGAATGACCTATATATGCTAGGTCATCATATATATCCCTTCATCTGGAAAAGTCATTCTGAGCAGTCAAGAGATCATTAAAAAATGGGCACAAATATGCACATAAAGATGACATACCTGTACAAGCTACCACAATCAAATATTGAGTTTAGGTAATTACATCCATACTGTACTAAAGCTATATCTGGAGTGAAAGCTAGGGCTATCTCACCAATTTCTACTGCAAAGTTTACAGTCTCCTTTCTTCAGACTGGATCAACATTAACTCCTTGGGTACCAGGATGGCCATGTCCTTAACATCTACCAAAAGACTAAATGTAAGAATGACATTGACCTAAAACACGTCACTTCTACATCAGACATCATGCAAAACTCAGCAAAACCTGTATCTCTCACGTCCTCTGTAAAGAATTCAGGTTATATACCTCATTGACAACTTTCAGCCAGCAATCGTTGTAGAAATAAACATCAAGAGAATTACATATACAAATTTGCTACAGCACAAAAAGAAAAACACTCCCCTACCCCAGTATAGAAAACCATTAAACCGATAACCTTGAAGAAATTTACCCTCATTTTTCCCATCTGACCTTCAAATAGATCACCAAAATCAACAGCAGAGGTAAATATTCCGCAAATTAGAGTTCACGATATTTAGCAACCCAATCTTCCTTTCACCTTACTTCCTGCTGATTCCACTACATCACACAAATAAAACTTACCCTGAAACTTAATAGCTTTTCTAGGTTAAAGTCTGGTTATTGAAATTGGGAGTTTTCTGCTTCTTTTGCCAGAACTCGTGAAAAACTTATAAATCCACTACTTGTTTGTTTTCACTTTTTCAGCAACTGACACAAAATATATTTACTATCCTTACAAACCACACTTAGGTGAAATTAAATGCAGCAATACCCATGTTCTATGACTTCCTTGAACTCGGTTATCTAGTGGAAGAACATGAACAGAACTATAAGGATCTCATACAAGATCACTAATGTATTACCTGTAATAATACTCCTACTAAAGTTAAATTGTTGTCCCAGCTTGCCAACTAAAAGAAAAAAAACCCAACCGTATTCAGGTATCTGAAGCCTAACTCCAAGCTACAGAATGGCAGCTGTCGAACTACGCATTGTTTATGAATATTAAAACCAAAAGTTTTCTTGAAACGTTTCCATGCTGGATGCTCAAAAGAGGAAATCTTGTATGTCTTTTAACCAGTCAATCTGTATATTTGCAAACAAATCTTCAGAGGAAAGAAAAATATGGCCAAAAATTGGAATTACAGTACAAACAGTAATTTACAGTAAAATATGAAAATACTTAAACACACATTTGTCTGTGCCTGTGTCCAATTTACAGCAATGACGCAATAAACAAAATGCAATATGGCAAATGTCAGCTTTTTGATGTATAGAAATATACACCCGTTTTCTGAATCTAAAAAGGGACCATTAATTTTCCTGCAGGGTATAACTCAAAACAAGGATTCCATCCTTTACATGGTCATTATGATGAAATGTCATCTTATGAGTGTTTGAAAATATTCTTTGAAATTGATTTACAGAATATGCGATGTAATGTTCTGTAACATGATTATCTTTTTGCGTATAATACTGTACCGGGAATTGTAATTTCTTGTTTGCTAGCTTCTAAAACTACAATTCAGCATATGTTTGTCAAAATCCCTACAGTAACATAAAATATTGGCCAGAATAACAGTTTTGTGCCAATCTGCAATGATGTAACTTTTTAGTTTGCAGAGCTGTGTGAGTATGAACTGACAATTTCACATTTTCAGATCAATTCTGTCAAATATAGTTTATGTTTCCCTATAATTTAACTTGGGATCCCTATTAGATCCCTGAAAACTTTTCATAATAGTTTGGGGATTGCAAATGTATAAATGTAAAACTTCTCAAACTCTTAAGGAGCAAAGGTTTTACCATGTGAAATAAAAATGTAATTTACACCTATTTTGAGTAAGGTATTTGGGGGTGATGACCACAAATTCATTTGAGCATGCAAAATAAACCTATCCTTACAGCCACACTCCAAAAAATGTAGCTCTCTGAATGGTAGCATGTTATGAGGGCCTTTTAATACCCTTTTCAAGGTAATAAATAACTAAAATTTAGATATCTGATAATTTTGAACATGGAAGAGTAATTTATGTTTATGTTGGGTTTCGAAATCTCTAATAGTTGGTTTCTGATCTCTACGTTATTGAGTCACACTAGCGCACTCAAACTATGACACTAAGTTTCTCAATCTTAATACAAATATAAGTAATGTTTGCAGGTATCTTCACTGAGAAACTCATATTCTACTATTAAGTCTTTTCATCTTATGACTGGATGGACAGATACCATGCAGTCGAATGAGTAAGGCATGAACCACCAAATCAGCAAGAACATGCCCATTCCATTACAGTGCCTTCTGTTAAATAGCATATTATAATTTTAAAGTTAGAAAAAGGAGCAATTCTTTTTTTTTTTTAATTAGCAGAAATAATCCCTGCAGAAAACACAGAAAAAATTCTGTATTTTAGCTACAGCATGAAGGCTTCATATCCTTCTAAAAGGTGTGCTTCATTTTAGCCATAAATTGCCTCTTTTGTTTCAGTAATTTCTGTAAAAACCATTGAATATAGATCATTATTTTTTAATCTGATTTTAAAATCTCTAAAGCAATACTCTGCCTTTCTGGTTCTCATTCTCCTCTACAGGCCACCACATCAGAGTTTGAATAATTTCATGGGCTTTTCCATAGAAATGGGTAAGGTCAGACTAATTTTCAGTTAGTGTTCTCTTTTTGATGATTTCATCTAATAATTAGTTTTGTTCCAGCCTCTATTTACATTCAATTTTATGTTCTGTCTCTGAGTCAGTTCTGACTCTGACATTACCTGTCAAGAACATTAAGTTTGTCCTTGCTGCTTCCCAATATTGCTTGCTGACCGGACCACTGCCTTGTTTCCATCTGGCTCTTGAAGGTAATTTATAATCCAGTGTCTTTTTCATGCACAAATAAACTCTATGGGTTTTCTTCCCAGATACCTCAACCCTTTAAAAATGAGGCTTACAGTTAATATTTTGAGAGGTCTCTAGATCCAACAGTGAAATGCTGCAAGTGATGTAGCAATTCACAGTTCTTCAACCTCCTTCCAAGTCCAAATCATTATCTTAGCCTGTCTTCTATGCCAAAAAGTACGCAGCTCCACATGCTATTTTCTGTGGACCCTTCTAGTATGCTCCACATGCTTTCCTGTCTCACGTGCCATTGAACACAGTCTTTCAGTGCTAATGCAATGTGACAGCTATCTACACTCCATAAGCTTTGGCACAAAGCAGGTTTTTCTCTGCTAAGTGCTTTGTCAGAGATTTTACCTTGGTTTTGAAACTGATCTCTTTGCTTGGGCTCAGTCCCCCCAAACACCACAGCTTTCAGATCCTTTATCCTCATTTCTGTGCTCTGCCTCAAAGACTATTACTGGTATGTTTGCCTTCTACTCGGACTGCAGTAAATTCAGTAACACAATTTCATAGCTGGCTTCCTCTTGAGTTACGTGAAAATTACTAAAAATATGAAGTGCCTCTTAAATAGATCTTGTCTGAAATAAAACAGCTGTCTTCCTCTGCCAGACACTCATTACTGCAGATATGTAGGAGAGCAGTGTTTAAGCCTTTTCCAGCTGTCCTCCACATCTCCAGTTTCAACATCTGACTGTTACACCTTTCCACTCATGCGGAGGTTTTCTGTTTGCTTTGGGTTTTTTTTGGGTTTTGTGCGTTTTGTTGTTTTTTGTTTTTTTTTTTTTTTTAAATTTTACTTCTATTCTTCAGAATGAGTCTGACAGTTGAGAGTTTCGTTTCGTTTCTAAACGAACGGAATGAAATCTACAGAATGAGACCACAGCCACAACTGCCACTACTGCGACACTTCAGCAACGCGCAATTCCGCCACGACTACGCTTCCCCGGCGCCGGGTCCGACCCCCCCGTTCCCGCCGCCGAGCGCCGCCCGACGCCCCCCCCCTCCCCCCCCACTCACCGGCACGGCGCGCGCCGCGCTGCCGGAGCCCCCGCCAGGGGCGCGCGCGAGCGGCCCGGCCGCGCGCAGGCGCCTCGAGCACGGGCGGTGGGGGGGGGCCACCACGAGGCGCTCCCAGAGCCGCGGCGCGTGAAGAACTCCACGGTGGTGCGCGCGGCCAGCGGCAGCGCGCGCGCACGAACCGCGCCGCGCGCCGCAGTGCGCGCCGCCGCCGCGCCGCGGGCAGCTGGGGCGGGAGGCGCGCGCGCCGGCCGCGACATGGCCCGCGCCGGCCCGGCGGGCGGTGGCGCAGCTCCGTGACGTCGTCGGCGGTGCGCCGCGCCGGCAGCGCGATGGCGGCGGCCCGGCGGGGGCGCCCGAGCGGCGGCGGCCCACGGGCGGGGCGCGGGGTGCCTCAGCGCCGGCGAAAGCGGCGCGGTGGAGGCCCGTCCTGCTGCGCAGCTTCGTGGGCAGCGTCCAGGAGGGTGAGTCGGGGCCGAAGGCGGTGCCGAAGGTGGCCCGGCTCCGTGGGCCAGCTCCGAGCTGGGCCTTAGCTACGGCCTTAGCGAGGGTTACGCCTGGCGGAGCCGCGGGCCCGCCTTGCCCGCTGCCCAGGGGGTAGTTGCGGCCATCGGCTCGGGGCCGGGGGCTGCAGGGCTGGTGGGGGCGGCCAGTGTGAGCCGGAGCTCCCGGGGCTCGGGAGTGCAGAGCCCGTAGAAAGCTGTACCCTTAAACATACTTGAAAACAGGTTCGGAGTACTGATAGATGTTTATGCAGATGTAAAAACGAATAGGAAAAAGAACATTGGCCTCAGCAGCACTTTTCTGAAGTTGCAACTTTGGAGAAAGAATTAAAGAAAAAGTTATGATTAGTTTGACTTCCCTTTAGAAACTGTTTTGTTAGTGAATGTTATGAAAGCCAGTAGCTCTTAAGACTAGTGCAATAAAAACATATTAGGAAAAAAGCATGTTTGGCTTAAACTTTGGTGAGTTGTTCTATACTGACGGACACAGAAACAACCATTGTTGTTTCCTTTAAGGCTAAATGATTCTATGATGTAGCATACCTTTGGAGCTGTAGAAAAGCTCGTTCTGAACACGTATAGAAAGAAAGTAGTAACAATAAAATACTGTTTAAATGCAAAGATGTAATTAATTATTAATACAGCATAATACAGAGATTTAGTGACTTTTTGCTGTGTCACAGCAGCTGCTGCTGACAGTATTATTATCAGTGTCTTCCTGAGACTACCTTTAGGAGCTTATTTTGGAATCTGTTTTGACGTTTCTTACGAAGCTGTCAAAAGTAGGAAAGAAGTGAAATGTTAAGACATCTTTTCACTGGATTTAAAAAACACTGGCAAAGGTGTATAATGTTAAGTAGGCATTAAGGTCTGCAGTCTTCTCTCGGGTTTAGGCAATAATTTTCAGTAATAATTTTCAGCAAGCTTCAAAGCAACGGTAGGGAATTATAATTAAAACAGTCATTGTTTCCTTGAATTTATGACTGGTCCTTATTAAAATTGACACACATAGTGGCTTTTTCTATTTTGTAAAGAAAACAGATTGAGATTGTCCTGACAACAGTTGAGTGGTTTGGTACCGTTTGAGCACAGGTGTATTTAACTCACTTTTTCTTATGTTTTCAGGACGAGGATTTGCATTTCGGAGGAAACAAAAGATCGAAAGACAGTACAGGAGATTATTGAGAAAGGGAAGAAAGGTCCGTTCCCAACAGGATGATCAGTTCACTGATACCTATCCTGAGCACTTGAAACATCTTTACCTCGCAGAGGAAGAAATGCTTAAGAAGCGGAGGCACAGGACACCAGAGGATTCAGTGTTATCAGAACAAAAGCTTAATAAAGCAGAAGAGTAAGTTTTTAAAATATGTCTTTAAAAAGAAGTAATTGTTTCAATCATTAAAGAAATACTTTAGATCTTATACTTTACATGGATTTGAGTATGGTGATGTGCTTTACTGAAAATGCCATTAGGTCTTAAATATTTTTCGTGATTGTAAGGAAAATAAATGGCAATGCAAGTAGCTTTGAGATGATGAGACATCATTGCACAGTATTGCCACAAGGTGGAGATAAGAATAAAGCAAAAATTTTTCTTTTTTTTTCCAGAAGAGAGTGGTATTTTTAAATGAAATTGCGACCAAATACATTCTCTTTGTTTTTGATCTGAATCTCCTTGATGCTGATGGCTGCTTTTCACCTTTTTGTAGTGCAAGTGATAGAGTAATCAAAAACTTTGTTAGTGAACAGCCACTAAATATCTGGCAAGGCTTATATTTTTTAAGTGTGAAATGTGTTTGCTACCACACTATTTATGTAATGGCTTTGTTGTAAATCAGAAAAAAAAAATTACAACTAAATAACCCAAAAAATCCACTCAAAGTAGTGTGACAGTAAATGCCAGACAAATGGCACTGGTTTTCTTCTTTTTGCTTTGGTAAAAGTTACACAGGCAGTCTTTTATATTGCGTTCTGGAAGGAACATAGTTGCAGTTCCTTATTGCACGACATTAAGGACAATACTGTACCTTTCCAGTATCTAATTTCAGAATGTTAATATGCCATCTCATTCAAGAAGAAACTTTTAGAAGGGTTGTTACTACTGTGCTTTTTCACCTTGCCATGTCAACCTGACTTCTCTAGCAGGCAGTCTGCCGACACTGGCTGTCCTTGCATCTCTGCAGCTGCATCTGTGTGTTGGAACTAGAAAGAGATAATACAACTCCAAGCTAGTGCATTCGGGTTTTCTAGCTCTGACAAGGTTGCATGATGGGGAAAACTCTTTAGGCACCACTCTTTAAACTTCATGAAATATCATCCATGTGAAGATCCAGCAGATAAGGTATGTGTGTTACTAAAGTTGTGTGCAGTTCAGTCTTTGGTACATTTTGCATTGAAGGAGTTTAGTTTGTTGTGTTTTCATGTTGATTGCTCACTGCATGGTATGGAATGGTGTTGGGTATCAAGGAAGAGTGGTGCAAACAGGTCTACATTCAGTGTAGAAGGATGACTCTTCGAAGTCTGTATTTGCAATTAACTTCCTTGAATATGCAAAAAACATTGGAAGTGATTCTGCAGTGCCTGTGGGATATATGGTTATATCTGCTTGATGATAATCAGTGTCTGAGGTACACGTATGTTTTGTTACAGGTCAGTTGTGACTGAAGGGAAGTTTAAGAAGAAAACATCCAATCAGAAGGCGAAAGAAGAGTACGAGAAAATAAAGGCTGAGCGTGCTAGGAAGAAAGAGGTAGATCTTAAACCAAGTTCTTTCTTGGCTGTAGACAAAGGCTGGATTAATACCATTTCTACTTGTCAATGTCCCACAGAGGACCATAGGAGAAGAATACAGGCATTAGGACTCCTTCAGTGTTTTTCAACTTGACAGTAGTATTCAGGAATGCAGGCATTCAGAATATCATTCTCTTTGTTCTTACCATTTTTGTCTTGCAGCTGCTGTTAGCAGGATTTTATTATGTCCATTGGTACATCAAGAAAAGCTTAGAGCTCTATCTGCATATCCCAGTGGATTATATTAGACCACTTAAATATTGTAGAAGGGAAAGTAATAACAATACCATCATCTCGTGATGAAAGTTAAATATCCATCCTATTTCTTATAGGATTATAAGTTCTTATATGTTACCATAATGCAGTCTTCATTTTACCTTTTGATGTGCTTTGCCAGCAGTGAAACAGTTAAATGTAATAGTGTCCCTGGCCAAAATTTTTAGTAATTCTCCTCATTCTAATTTAATGGGAATTATTTTTACAGGACATATTATAATATTATCCTTGTTGAATAACTCACTTGAGTTATTGATTTGAGAGATCCTTATTTAACTGGTTTTATTCTTTCCCAGTACATTGTTGCACAGTAAAGTGGCACATAGTGCAACTTGCAGAGGTTGTGCAACTTGCTGCTGACATGCTAAATTTCAGTAACTATTATATAAGTATATAGCTGGATAAAACACTCTATTTCTTTAGTTTAGCCGTATTTAGTTTTATGCCAGCTGATCCTTTTGTGAGTCTGGGTGAGTTACAAGGTTATTCAGCTGATAGCTGCTTTTTTGAATGTTAACTACAGATCATGCCAATAGAAATGAATGTTATGACCAACTTATTTAGAGGGAATGGGAACAAGTAAAACACCAGTAAGACTGCAAGGAGTTTTCTTTGAGCAGCTCATAGGAGTTGCCTGAGGGGAGTTGTTGGCATTTTTAGTCTTATTCAAGATATTTAGGCAAAACAGTGTGGCTAAGTGCCACAATAATAATATCATTTATGTGGAGTACTGGCATGATTATCATATACTTTACCCTCATGTATGTTAGCAAACACTCTATTTGCTGTTATTTATCTTGGGAAGAGAAATAAGCTTAAAGACATAGTTTTGACCTCCACAAAGGCCTTTTTTGGCCTAAAAAAGCTAGGATTTAGTAAAGATCAGAAAAAAATACTAATGTAAGTAGCAACTGTCTAAGTAAGATGAACGTTCTTGCTTTGAAAGCATTTGGTTGGTAGCTTAAATGGATGTTGTTTACAACAGTATGCTGAATAGTGGTAAAAGTATTAGATAGGGAGTGAATTACAGGTAAGTTAAAGTAGATGCTGCTCTGCTTTTTTAAAAAGAGAATAAATTATATTAATTGTTTTGGTAAAATAACTGCAGGATTCTGAATGGAGAGACATTATCTTTGCATATTTTTGGATCTTTTTCTGTTCATTTATTTGGCTGGTTATTGGTTCTTTTTCCTGAAGCCTCTTAGATTTCTGTTTAGAAATATTTTCTTGGGTTATTTCTGGTTAATTTTATATTCTACATCGGGGAGCAAGTCTTACTAGATTTTGTACGTCACTGAAGCTATCTATGCCATGGAAAACAAAAATATAATTGCTAAATTGTGATTTGTTCAGGCATTCTGCAGAAACATCCACCTTTGTGGTCATCATGGCACTGCATTTCAAAGACTACACTTTATGAGAAAAAAGTCTTCCAAATGAACTGAACCTTCAGTCTGATTTGTGGTGTATTGCGTGTTTGAGTTCTGTCTGTCTGTCCCAGGCAATTGTGTCCAGTGTTGTAGCACATCTGCACTGCCAAGACATTTACACAGGAGCTCCTGTATCACACTCTTTCTGCCTTGCACTCAGGAGGAGAAAGTGGGGACTTTTTTGCCTCTTTCATTTAAGGAGAAAAGTCAAGGAGTATATTTTGCAGAAAGGAAGTAGTATGCATTGTGCCAACAAACCTTATTGTAGGATGCTTTACTGAAAAATTTAGCTCTTTTCTTGAAGCTTTAGGCTATATAGTGTGTTTTGACTGCAGTATATGCTGAAAGAGCATCCTGATTATGCTTTTAAGAGTAATGGTGTTTGTACTGTTAGTACAGTACCTAATTGCCAGTATCTGTACAAAAATAAATTTTATTGCTTATAGATAACTTCACAGTCATAGAAGGTATGTAATTGTTTCATAATCATGTATCTTTATTTAATTTCAGGAAGCAGAAAAAAGAAAACAACAAAGAGAAGAAGCTCAACGGTTGTACAAGCAAAAGAAAATGGAAGCTTATAAAATATTGAGTAAGAAGACTAAAAAAGGGCAGCCAAATCTAAACTTACAAGTAGAGTTTCTTCTTCAGAAAATACAGCAAAATACCTAAACTTCTGCATATATTTGAGTTACCTGTGGACATTTTATTAAATTACTTTTAATAAATAATTTTGTTTCTATGTTACTTTTGTTATTGACTTGATTTATCTCATCAGTCCAGTAGTGATATATTCATCCTGAAAATATGAAAATATTCATCCTGAGAGTAAGAGAGAGATCTGGTACCTTGAAAATAAATGGTCTGGATTTCTAAACTTAAATTCTATTAGCTACCTAATATCCTGGATTCAAAATCAATAGAACCTCGTGCTGTCTGAACATGAATCTAACACTTCCTGCAATTGTGACTACTAAATTATACTTACTTGGGAGGACTGAAGTGATACATGGGACATATTTGATGTCTCATGAACTGCTGGTTTTAGGAGCGTGTCTTGTGTGCTTTTGGATAGGATTTGGCACATGAAAACAGAGAACATATACTATACTTGGATGGCTATTATTTATCATTCTTCACAAAGAAGAAAACTTACAAAAAATCCTAAAATGGTTTAAATGTAAAGATCTCATGGATTTGACACATACTTTTTGCTTGGTGATTTTTGCTAGCTATGCTGTATCAGGTAGATGGGTTGAGGTTTTGGTATACTGAGTGTATCAAGTTTAAATCTTTGCTCTTTGGAACATCTTTAGAAAAAGATTTCTTTTAAACTTTGGTTTGTAGATGCAGTTAGTGATCTTTGACCTAATAAAGTGAAAGCATTCTTCGTGAGTCTAATAAGTTCCCAATAAAACAAGTAAACTATTTTCCGTAAGTTTATACAGGAGAATACTATTATACTTTTTCCTTTATTTCAGTCTACTTTGGCAGCCAAGAAATAATACTGAGGTTTTTTCTGCATATAATAAAGATTAGTTAGACATTAAAGGAATATATTGGAAGAAATTTCTTAGGACGTGCTTCATAATATTTGCAGTATGTTTACAGTATTGCAGTATTATTTGTAGTATTACATTATCTCATTTAGAAGTTGATGTCAACTGCAGAAAAGTCCTTATTTAAAATGCGTAGGAAAAATAGTTTTGAATTGTATGACAAGCGCTGTTAAATGAGGAATAGTTCAGGAGTTTGAGTAGGCTGAAATGTTACTTGTGTCAGTATCCTGAAGCTTTTTCCACCTTATCTAGTTATACTTCTTGCAAGACTTCGAATCCTCATGCTGTAATGTCATCTGGAAAAACTATACGCAAGGTGTAAGTTAGTGCACCAACAGAAAGTGTGGGAGCTTTTTCTGAAATGGGCATGTCTGTTTTATGAGAAAAAGGAAGTGTAAATTTAACATGCTTATTGTGTTTTAGACTGTTCCCTCTCTGTTTTTGGTCTGGGTTTTCCTGCTTTTTTTTTTCCCAATAATTGTTGTAATTGCCAGTTACGAGTGTTTCTGAGCTGAAATATTAAAGAGCAGAAATCTGCAAAGTGCCCAGAGAATGAGAAAGGCAAAAGTTAGTATAGAGAGTCTAGTTTGATTCTTATCATTCTTGGCTGTCAGCTTTTACTTTAAAAAATGAAAACAACAAGTATTTGCAATTATTAGTTATGGGGATTTTCTTATCAGAAGGGCAAAAGACTTAACATGTTAGCTTTGTGTTCTTTCTGAATAACATGAAATATCTTCCATGTGAATTCATGCTACTTCCATTTTTTGGTCACACGTGTCTGTTACCCTGTATGATCTCTATCATGTTGAAATGTGAAAAAGAGGAGTGTAAGTCCTGTTGCTGTTCCTTTTTTTTTTATAGTCACACACACTACTCTCTTCTCTAGCAGTTTGTTTTCTGTTCTCTGAAAGCCTGCAGATCTCAAGTACTGATATCTTTCCAGTACGTCATCTGAATTAGATGAAGTGGAAGAGACATAGCTTCACAGTTTTACATTTTATTCTTGTATATATAAGTTGTGTAATCAGTGAATGCAGGCAGCTTTCCAGATCTCTCTTTTTTTTTTCCCCTTTCATTATAGACCAGTGAAATGGTGAATCAGAAATAAGGAAGGGAAGAAAGTACAATACATTCATATTTTCTTTTTGGTTCTGAGGAACAGAATCTGAAGCTTTCTTTGCTCATTTTGCAAATAACTTGGGAAATCATAATAGTAACTGAACTAGATCATCTCATTAAGCTAACTTTGACAGCCCAAGGACTTTCTTACCCTGTACCCATCTCGAAAATTTTTTTCCATGCCACTACTAGCAAAAATAAAACCTTTGATACGTGAAGTTACTAAGGCTTTGGAAATGAGGGAGAAGTTAGGCTTTGGATTTTTTTTATCTTTACAGTCTGGTAAATTATGTCTGTACTAGGAATTGGGTAAAGAACATGAAGTTAAAAACTTGATTAGTCTTAGTGTCTGTTTCTGCTTTCACAAAGTAGTGTTTTGAATCATTAATCCAAGAATTTAGAAGCAATTCTAAATGGATTAATGGATGGAAATGTTGTAAACATAAGGAAAATGTAAGGGCACCTCACTTAATAAAGTCTATGAGGACAGGACAAATCTCTGAAATACCAACTTTCCATAGAATTTTTACTAAGTCATGCCTTCTGGAAATTGCTGAGTGGATAGTTAATAATGAACTGAGAGCCATGCAATAGCTTCCTGACTCCTCTGAAGAAAACCTTTATGGGATGTGAAAAAGAAAAAAAAGAAGTCTAAGGTAGTTCAGTCTGAACTTTTGGTAAAATAATTGTTGGTCCATTCATAAAGCTGCTGTGTAACTCGACCTACAACATGCAAATTTCTCTACCTTTTAGGTATAGCTTTGTCATTAACTTTGTTTTCTTCTATGTAGCTTTTAATTAATAGCAATTTAGATCATTATTTTCAAGTCTGGATTTATGTATTCTCCCCAAAAGATTATCTCCACATTTGTATCTATTTTTTTAATATCTTGCTATCAACCCAGTTGAGGAAACACAGCACATTTGTTTAGAAACTTATATTTGAGGATTCCACTTTGCAGATTAAAAAGGAAAAAAAAAGCTAACTAATTTATTCAATCCACATTTGCTCACTAGAAAATGTGTGTGCTGGCTTTGGCTGGAGTAGAGTTGATTTTCTTCACAGTGGCTTGTGCAGGACTATGTCTTGGATTTGTGCTGAGCATGGGATTGATAATATAGAGATGTTTTTGCTGAGCAGGGCTTACAAGGGGCTAAGGCCCTTGTACTGCCACGCTGTCAAGGAGACTGGGGGTGCATGGGAGGTGGGGAGGAGACACAGCCAGGACAGGTGACCCTGCCTGACCAAAGGCACATGGCCATGTAGTGAAAGGTATTCTGAGACACAAAAACTAGTAAGTAAAAACAACAAACGGAATTCCTGAAATATTTTTTTATTAACTGAGGGTAATTTTGTTTGTCCTGTTTTAAGAATAAATGTAAAATTCTAACTCTAGTGTTCTTAATGTTTTCTATAGTCAGTGAGGATGCTGTCAAGGGGCAAATAATCTCATCTGAACATAAATCACAGGTGTCACTCCTAGAGATACATACCTACCCATACAACTTTGTGGTAGCTAGTTCTAACACCTAGACTTCTAGAAATGTCATTTGGCAAGAACACTTAAAGTTTGTGATTCATAGTGCAGTTCTTTTAAAATTTAGGCAGAGTGCAAAATAGTAAACTGTCCTGAATGTATCACACACAGCTGACCAGAACAGGGCAGCAGAGTACTATGCTCTGCAGCCACTGTTGAGCAGGGAGATGTTGATTTTGTTGCAGCGATTTCTTTCTTTCTCCTTTGATTTGTTTTTTTTTTTTTTCTTTTAGTTCAACAGTAATGATTTGCTACAAGGCATGTTGTGCTACAAGGCATGTTATTTTTTGTTCTTTCTCATTTTCTTTTTTTTCCTTTTTCCTTTTTTCTTTTTTTTTTTGTTCAAAATTTTTTTTCCTTTCTGTGATATAATGAAGCACAAAGACTTAAACTGCCAATGGCAGATGGAAAGTACATGACCTACAGTCACTGCCATATCACTTTAATCTAAAAGTCAAAGATAGGCTGGCATAAAGCTGTAAATAATTCTCCTATTTAACATTTTAAAAAATGAAAACTCAACTGTAATACATAGTATGTTTTCGGTCAATGCCTGACAAAAGTCAGTTACACATTGCTTAGATTGCTTTAAGACCCAGGTGGTAAAACATGTACAGTAGGAAGGTAATGCTACATTATGGAATGACCTTAATTTTTTACCATTCAGTTTTTAATATTTACATCCAATTTATTTTATTGTCCATATAAGTTAGATCAAATATAATGTAAAATAAATACACTTCTTTTCAAAACAGAATCCTAAACTGAATACTTAAGAATGAATTTTTTAATTTGTTCTTAGTTTCAAGGATGCGTTGTCGATTTGTATGTAGAAGTATCTACCAGATTGGTCAGGCTGGTGCTGTTAAGTGCTTGTTTCCCCAGGAGCTGCATATGCTAATTGAGTGTTTATATTAAACAGTCTTCAGGCTGATATATTTTATGCTTCCTACCTACACCAGTTTTGGGTTTCTCCCTGATGACAGGACTGCTCTGTTTTTGTTGAGGATTTTCCAGGGAGGAGTGGAAGAAGCTGCCCTTCACAGATGGCCATCTCCTTGGCAGGAAATTCATCTGGTCTCAGCATGTAGGATTTACTGTGCACATATGAACTCTGCATTCAGTGTGCACACAGTACATCTGATCTGGCCCAGACTCATCAGATTTATGGCAGGAAGCTTTATGGCTGATCTGCACTGGTACTGAGCATTTGAAGCTTCCAGAAATTTTACTGCGTGTTTATATATACAGGGGACAAATTTAGCTTTGTCAGCATTCCTGAGTGCTGGCAACACAGCATTCATGTCTGCATCCACACTACTGGGTATTTAACAGTTATTTGAAATTGTTAGGTCATCAAACATCACAGACAACATTATTGGATACAAAAAGTCCATTAAGACCAAATATTTCATAACCCTATATGTTAAGAAATTTAAGCTAAGCTTATTTTTCTTAAATGCAGTTCCTTTTGCTTCAATGTCCTTTTTCAGTTTGCATCTTATGTCCTGAGGATAGTCAAAAATTCCCAAACATTCTGCACTTAGAATCATGAAACATATATCTGCTGGAGGTAGAATGTCTCCTCTCAGATATAAAACTGTAATATGTGATATTTTGTATTCCACTGTAATAATGAATGTGAGATTTTGTCATCTGAGAGA